CCCAGCCAGCCTGTGGCCACCCCAAAACCAAAGAGGTTGCAAGTCCTTTGGGGACTCAGGCTCTGTGCTTGTCTCCTTGTGCAGGAGAAAATGCCCCGGGGAGCATCCTGTGGGACTGGCCAGCAAAAATGCTTGGAGGCTGTAGAAAATCAATCCAAACGTGCAGTGTTAACTCACCTTTTCACCTTTAGTGCCCTTCAATCCACGAACACCATCTGCTCCCTTGCAGGAGATAAAACAAGACGTTACAAGGGTATAGGTAAGCTTAAGAGTGAAGAATCGTTAATCATGGTGATTTTTGCTTCCTCCCTTGTTGACAATGGTACCTCTGCAAACTGTGACGTTCCTAAACATATTGCACATCAAATATCAGCTGCTGACACCAGTGAGTACCTGAGTCACAAACCTCTGCTGACTTACTTGGCAGGTGGGGTTGGTCTCTGCCCATTCCCTGCCCAGGAATTACATTTCCACGGGTAAAACTCACTATGAAAAGTTTTTCTGTGCACATTTTCCAGAAAAGTATTTCCACAAACGCCTTGCCACGCTGAGTTCACTCCAGCATTCACAGCAAAAGAAAACAGTGCTTGAGCTGTGCAGACACTTGGGAAGTGAATTCATTTCAAATCTCTGAGAACACAGCCAGAGATCTCTGGGCAGCTCCGCAGCGGGTAGCAGCACAGTGTCTAACACCCCCAAAGATTAAGCTTGGCACATTTTCACCATGGTGCTCACATCTGTACATGCACTATTTTCAAAGTGCATTTAGGCACCAAAAAGAAGGTAAAAGAAAAACAGAACTAAGACTGGTGTGGGCATTTGTGACATGGTGCAGCAGCCCCGCAAAGCTTCACCATGGTGTTCAGCCCGGAGGTGCTGAGCACGGTCAGGATCTGCCCCCTGCTATGCCACCAGCCCAAACCTGTTGGACCCCTGTGCTTCCCATCTATCCTGCCTCTTGGGATAAAACACCACCCTCAGGTATCTACACCAGCTGTGCTGTGTTATTTATCTTACAAGGTAACCAAGAAACTTGCCTTTTTTTTTTTTTTTTGAGGAATAATATTTTGCTTGGGGTATTTTACGTTTTTTTCCTTCCCTTTAGCACATCAAGAAAAAGTATAATTGAAAGTACAACAAAATTCGTGCAGCAGGTTCCAGTAAGTGAGGCAAGACGTAAAAGTTATTTATAGCTGCAAATCCAAAGAGATGCATTTTTTTCCAAACTGGAGGCTCGTGTAGTTCATAGAACGCTGCTTGTAGGAAGCAAAACCTTGTCTGTACACACTCTGGGTTTGGTGCCTGACACACTTTCTCTAGATCATTCTAATGTGGAACAGCTCCACTTCAGTGGTAAACACAACAGCAAACCATTCCCTAACGGACCACTACGTCTCGATCCACAACCTTGCAAGAAACGAGATGAAAGCCTGCTTCGGCTAAATATATCCCACTTAAATTTTGAAGGCAGAACAGAGAACGTGTCTCTGCCATTGAAAAAATACACAAGAGGGTTTAAAAGGGCTTAACGTCACCTATAGCCAGTCCCCAAGCTGTGTTTGTATCTGTTAGCCCAGATCCCTGCAGATTCATTGGACCTTTGGGATGCAGGAGGCATCTGCACCTGAACTAATACATCTTGATGGGCACAACAGCCAGAGCTGAATGGGGAAAAAAAAAATTCCCACCGCCTTCTTATCAGCATGCAAGCGCTGCAGGAGCGAGGAAAGAGCTGGAATTCAGTCTAGTGAAAAAGCACATTACTGAGACGCACAAGCTTTGTCTAACAAGGTTTTGGATCAGCAGCATGAAAAGCTCGCTTTGTTTTAGTAATAGGCTATTTTGTTTTATTAACAAGCCTTGTTAAAGTCTTCACATTCTGGCTGAGATTTACTTTGATTGTAAACTGGAAACGATTGGAATGGGGCTGAGCCGTGCCCACGAAGAATTAAGAGAGAAATGTCTCCAAAGTGCTGAACGATGCTAGGAGGGGTTATTGGAGAGCAGGGACTTGTAATCCTCGTGGCCTGCGAGAAGACGCTGGACCAAGGTTCATTCAAGCAGCAAACATGGTTAGTGGTGGCCCTAAGCACCCTGGCTGGGCATCCGTGATGGAGAACAAGCAATGCCACGGACACCATTCCTGCATCCTCCTTACCTTGACTCCGCGTGGTCCTGGATAACCGATGGGGCCCTGAGGACCTGGTGGACCCTGCGGTGGAAAAAATGCAAACAAGAAAAACACATCAAAAAAATCAACAGGAAGGCGCAGCAATAAGCAAAATGTGTGGAAGACAAATATACCAGTCATCTGGCTGCTTCGGACTGGGTGGAAACGGCAGCGGCCATCTGAAAACAGCTCAAGTTAGCACAGAGCTACAGGAACATCACCTCGAGAAGGTGCACTTGGCTGAGCCAACAGCAAAGGTCCATACGATAGGAAAGGAGGAAGAGAAGAGACAAGACAGCAACAACTTGATAGAAAGGGGGTTTATACATATTATTGGCAATTTGTGTTTTGGATTAAAGACAAGAACCAGTTCTCTGAAAGAGGAAGGACATGTTCTGCTGTCTCCCATCTCCCAAACCATCCTGGTTTTGCAGTAACACAGCAGAGCTTGTGATGATGATCACAGATCGGAGTTATTGCTTGAAGCACAAGACTGAGCATGATGTCCTTTGGCCTCAGCTGTGTGGGAGAGGAGACACTCCCAAAGCTCCTTTCTGGCACTGAAAGCTGCAAATCCTCAGGAACACCATGAGCTGTGCTGGACACGGTGCCTGATACGCACCCTGCAAAAACTCTCCTTCCCACCCTCGCTGCCACACTTACACCTGCACATAAATCACTTTCTTTATTGAACCCAGTTGGCTTTTGCTTTGCTCAGTTCCCTAACTAAACAAACACTTTTCCACTTCTCCCAGCCTGAGATGGACAATTTTTTCCAGCCTGACACCCAGACGGAGCCGACAGGTCCACCAGCATCCCAGACCTCATGCAAGTGTCAGCCAGAGGAGACCTGCAGCCCCAGCCCTGCTCCGAGACCACCTCCCTAACATTTGCTGAGCATCTCCTGGCCCAAGGTGCACCGGCACAACCACTTATTGGCTCCTTATATTCTGCAGAGGCCAACGTTGGAATTCTCGGCCTCGTGTGACACCAGCCGGACAAACGGCCGCGGGTTGTGCTCCGTGCAGCACCCGAGCGGACGTCCATCAAACCAGACTGCGCTCTAATCACAGACTTCTGACAAACATAATGTTTTTCAACCCAATGGGACACAGCGGGAATGCAGATGGTAAATCTCCTGGACAGGCGGACGACTGTATAATTCAAGGACTCTAGCCTCCAGCAATATTCTCAAATATATTGTTAAAGAGGGACTTTGAGAGGGAGGAGAAGAAAAAGGAAGACCAGAAATACAAAAAGAGTTATTTCCTGCACTCCCTGTGCCATGAAGGATATTTATTTGTGTCTGATTAAGAGAAGGCTTCCCTTCACTGTCTCAGTTTTCATGTCCACGGGGCTGCGGAGCGCTACTTGCCTGGAAAGCTGGGAGGAGTTGAAAAAAGACCAGCCCAAGCACCAGAAGAGTCTCCCAAGCAGACGAAGGCTGGGCTCAGCTTTCAAATTTCAACAGGCTTTGCTGCTTGCCTCCTCCACTGACCCACCTCTCCTGGCTCCCGGCCATCCCTGGAGCCCCATGGAGATCTGTCTCCATCCAGATACCGTGACTTTCCCTTTAGCAGTGATGAGGATCTTGTTGACACCTACCTGACTCCCCTTCTCTCCAGGAGGACCCTCCTTGCCAGGATGACCCTATAAATAAAAGAGACAAAGAGAAGAAGGAAATGGGTTTAGTGCACATCTAATGCTTCAGAAGCCAACAAGCTCGCTCAGGCAGCTATGATTTATTTGGAAGAGTTGCCCTTCAGGAAGCTCTTACTGATGCAAGTATGCCCACTGAAGTCAACTTGCAAGAATAAGCTTTCCCCAAAAGGAATAGAGCTGCATTTGGGTCCTTGGTGGCATTCTATCCAGTTATTTTACACTTTTACTCTTCACCACCCTTCAGCAGAGAAGCACAAACCATTTTGCAATATGCTTCACGTATTAGAACACCTCAGTGAGTTCAGCAGCAAGCAGCACATAAATTTTGCAGACAGGAAAACAGATAAAATTAACTCTGTGTGTTAGCAAACTTGTGAGGGTCATAAGATGCCCAGACTGGTCAGAGCTCCTCATTAATTTCCTAATTCCTAGAGTCCATTACAAGATCTCATGACAAACGCTTAGTTAAACCTGCATCCCTGCTAAACGGCGGCTGGCTGGATGCTGGCCAGCATTCCTCTTGGGATTTGATGCTGCGTAACTCAACATCCAAGAGTTTCCAACACATTGTCATTCACGGCCTTTAGAAGCCTTTTGCTGGGGTTGCAGTCAGTAGAAAACAAAAGTGTGAATTGCCTCAGATAGAGCTTGGAAGATTAGTGAGAAATAGGAGAAATCCATGAAAGTAGTTTTTAGTGCCGACTTCCCTACTGTCGGAACCAAAACAGAGCCAGGATGGAAGATGACTCTTTGGTTGGCAATGCCTGTACAAAAGCAATAAGCCCTCCCTGAGGGCACTCACTGCACACCCAGGGACCTTTTCTTTTATAGAGATGATGAGAGAACATCCAGCTGCTCTAAAGCCACTAAGACCTCTGCACTCAATGGTTTCTTTACTTATGAGCTCTTCTCTAAATACACAAATGACTTTCCACCAATATAACAAGGAACATCGTAAAAGTATTTTCCATCATCAGTCCTCAGAACGGAACGTCAGACAAGCCAGACTTCATAAAACAAGCTGGTTTAATAAAGAAACAAAATGACCGCTGTCATTTTCACATCAAACAAAACGTAGGAGAAAATGCAATTGGAATTTGTCCTGTGAGTTTAAACGGCACCGAGAGCATCGGTGCACAAAGCAGGTCATACAAATGTGCTTGCCTTCAGCTCCTGACATCTCTCTCTGCCCCGGGGGAGGCAAAATAGAAGCGTAGCAAGATTTCAAAAGCCTTTGTCCACTCTGCACTAAATCATCACCATTCTCAAAACGCCCATCTCTGTTCTTGCTACCAAGATCAAAAATTGATGAGCAACCTGGTTGGCTTTCGCAATGAGGTGCTTCAGGCCCTCAGGGATTGTCAGATATCTTCCAAGACCAATTTCTATAAAGAGAACATGGGCAGGTTTTTGACCTTGGAAAAAGTGACCCATATGCTCACAAACCCCCAAACCATCTGCAAACTACGGGGCTACCTGCAGCGAAGGACCCGCGTCCACGCGCACCCACACACACTCAGCTCGGGGTCTGATCCAGCCTTCAGTCTGTGCAAAAATAGACCCGGCGTCTTCTCCAGCCGAACTTCCCTGGAGACTGCTGTAGGAATTTCACATCGAAAGCTACAGCCTTGGAGATGTTCTGGGCTTTGCTTTAGCTGCTCTGTTGACTCAGCTAACAGTTGTACAAATGTTCGAAATGCCCTCCATAGGAATGATAATCCCAAAGTGGGAAAGGTGATTTTTTTTTTTTTCCATACTCTGCATTTGCATTCTCGAAACGTAACGATTTTACATTTGTCATTCTTAAAACCAGGTGCCTCTGAGGTGTGTAAAAACGAGATCAGGTTTAAAGGCCAAATATTTTTTTTTTAAGACCGATCTCCAGAGCAAGGAACAAATAATGTTTAAAGTAGGATTAGGAGGAAGCTGGAAGAATACAACATGGACATGCAATTTCAACCTGTGCTTATCACCGTTCCGCAGCAGCGCCCAGCGGCCCCGGGCGAGACGGGAACCACCCCGTGCTACTGCTGTGCACAAACACGTGCACACAGGAGACCGTCCCTACCTCCGTGAGCTGCCAACCTCCCTCAAACAGGGAGGAGTTTTTGGGAAAGAGAGACCTGAAGAGACGGTGAGAAGTACCCGGCACTGTGCTATGAGGCTGAGCGAAGCTTGGAGCAGGGCCAGGGCTTCTCAAGCTCAAACCCTCCAACCCAGCCGAAACACGAGCAGGTGAGCCTGACCTTGCAGGTCACCATGGTGCACCCCAGATGGGTGCAGGATCAGGCCCCACAGCCCTGGTGCCAAGCAGAGACCCAGGAGATGACAACTTACCGGAGGACCATCTGCACCAGGCATGCCAGGAAGACCGGGTTTGCCCAGTGGTCCCTAAAAAACAAACAGAAAATCAACAGCTGCAATGGTCACAGTCTCCAGAGCATCAGAGAACGAGGCTTTTCGGATACATTTCTTGCTTTTTCCAAGCTGTGAAAGGCTGCAGAGAGGTGAGTCTGCAGGAGACCCCGGGGCACGAGGCATCGAGCACCGTCCTGCCAAGAGGGTGCGATGCTGCACGTGTACGTACAGACAAGTTGGAGGATATGGAACCGTGGGGCTCACTGGACTGGGAAACGCCCATTCTGTGATGACAAATGAGGTGATCAACTGGCACGGCAAGGGCGGAGCTGCCCCCATTAACTGTTCCTGCTGCTTTAACACCACTCAATGATTACTTTTTTAATTAAGTGACCCCCTGGTTTCTCACACCACTGAGGAGCAGCGCTGCTGCTGAGCGTGTGACTCGGCACTGAAACCCAAGCACCCTGCGTCTGGCAGAACTGACAACGTGCTCCTTCGCAGGAGAACTATCCATGATGTGTGTCCACCCCACGCTGCCAACACGAGCTGGGGATTGTCCCAGTAAACATGCCGGGACACACGCTGTGTCCCTGCTCAACGGGACCTGAGCA